CATATCTCTTCGGCATACTGATTTCTTTCTTCTTTTTGCAGACCGAGACTCGCTCTGTCACCCAGGCTGAAGTGCAGTGACACCATCTCGGCTCACTACAACCTCTGCCTCCAGGGTTCCAGTGATTCTCATGCCTCAGCCACCTGAGTAGCCGGGATTACAGGCGTGCAACACCGCACCCAGCTAATTTTTGTATTTTTAGTAGAGACAGGTTTTCAACAGGTTGGCCAGGCTGGTCTGGAACTCCTGGCCTCCAATGATCCACCCTCCTCGGCCTCCCAAAGTGCTGGAATTGCAGGTGTGAGTCACCACGCCCCACCCAGCATACTGATTTCAATTCCTTTGGGTATATACCCAATAGTGGAATTGCTGGATCATATCTGGCTGTTTTGTTTTCATGATTCTCAGTCTTTCTTTTTTTTTTTGAGACGGAGTCTTGCTCTGTCACCCGGGCTGGAGTGCAGAGGCCGGATCTCAGCTCACTGCAAGCTCCGCCTCCCGGGTTTACGCCATTCTCCTGCCTCAGCCTCCCGAGTAGCGGGGACTACAGGCGCCCGCCACCTCGCCCGGCTAGTTTTTTGTGTTTTTAGTAGAGACGGGGTTTCACTGTGTTAGCCAGGATGGTCTCGATCTCCTGACCTCGTGATCCGCCCGTCTCGGCCTCCCAAAGTGCTGGGATTACAGGCTTGAGCCACCGCGCCCGGCCTCTCAGTCTTTCATGTTCTATAGTTTCACTATAGTTTATCTAGCAATGGATATGCTTTTTTTAAATTTATTTTTTTGAGACGGAGTTTCACTCTTGTTGCCCAGGCTGGAGTGCAATGGTGCAATCTCAGCTCGCCATAACCTCCACCTCCCCGGTTCAAGCAATTCTCCTGCCTCAGGCTCCCGAGTAGCTGGGATTACAGGCATGCACCACCACGCCTGGCTAATTTTGTATTTTTAGTAGATACGGGGTTTCTCCAGGAGGCTGGTCTCGAACTCCTGACCTCATGTGATCTGCCTGCCTCAGCCTCCCAAAGTGCTGGGATTACAGGTGTGAGCCACAGCGCCCAGCCATATATGCTTTTCTTTATCCCCAGTACGTTTCTTCAGTTGGATGATTTTTTTTTTTTTTTTTTTTTTTTTTTTTGAGGTAAGTTCTCACTCTGTCACCCAGGCTGGAGTGCAGTGGTGCGATCACAGCTCACTGCATCCTTAACCTCCTGGGCTCAAGTGATCCTCCCACCTCAGCCTCTTGAGTACCTGGGACTACAGGCATGTGCCACCATGCCTGGCTAATTTCTTATTTCTTTTGTAGAGACAGGGTTTCACCATGTTGCCCATGCTGGTCTAAAACTCCTGAGCTCAAGAGATCCACCCACCTTGGCCTCCCAAAGTGCTGGGATTACAGGTATAAGCCACTACACTGGCACATATCTTTCATTCTGGAAAATTCTCAGTCTTTGCATCTTCCATACTGTGTGCCACCTATTCTATTTTAACCTGCAGGAACTTCTCAGACACATGTTGGACCTGCTCATTCTCTCTGCTCTCTTCTCTTCCATAGGTCCTATTTATACCTCTTTGTGGGACAATCTAATGGACTGCATTGGTGTCCACAAGGCTCTGGAGCTTTCACAAGTCTGGGCCAATCTTTATGTTAATTTTTCAGCTTGTGGCCCTTCAGCATGCTGGTAACAAAAATTCAGGCTACACACATCTGTACGTGGTCCAGGCTTGGGGATTTTTCATGGATGTCTTTTTCACCGTATCCATTTCCCTGGTCAAACACCACATTTCCCTGTGGCTGCCCCAGCATGATTGGCACAGGGTTCTCTAGTCCCCTTCCAGCTTCCTGCTCTCTTCATGCAGGAGACTCAGCTGTAGCAATCCTGCACTTCGCAGGGGCTCAGGCTGTTATGTCCTGGCCCTACCTGGAATGAAACCAGAATCCTGGGAGCTGTGCTAGTACCACTCGGCTTCCCTTTCCTTCTTGTAACAAATATTAACCTTCCTCCCTTCCCCACTCCCTTCTCCTTTTTTCCCTGGTAAGTTTGTTATCGCTGATAAACCTACACTGACATATTACCCAGAGTCCATAGTTTACATCAGGGTTCACTCTTGGTGTACATTCTGTGGGATCAGACAGATTCATAATGACATGTATTCACCATTACAGCATCACAATGAATAGTTCCACTGCCCTAAAAATCCTTTGTTTCTGCCCATTCATCTCTCTCTCCACAATTGCTGATCCTTTTTTTTTGAGACAGAGTTTTGCTCTTATCACCCAGGCTGGAGTGCAATGGCGTGATCTCAGCTCACTGCAACCTCCGCCTCCTGCCTCAAGCGATTCTCCTGCCTCAGCCTCCCGAGTAGCTGGAATTACAGGTGCCCGCCACCACACCCAGCTAATTTTTGTACTTTTAGTTGAGATGGGGTTTCACCATGTTGGCCAGGCTGGCCTCGAACTCCTGACCTCATGATTTGCTCACTTCAGCCTCCCAAAGTGCTGGGATTGCAGGTGTGAGCCACTGCACCTGGCCAAACTGCTGATCCTTTTACTATCTACACAGTTTTGCCTTTTCCACGATGTCATGTGTTGCAGTCATATATAGCCTTTCCAGATTGGCTTTTTCCAATTAAGTAATATACATTTAAGTTCCTTTATGTCTTTCCATGACTTGATAGCTCCTTTCCTTTTAGTGCTGAATAATATTCCACTGTCGTGGTGCAGTTTATCCATTCACCTACTGAAGTACATCTTGGATGCTTCCAAGTTTTAGAAACAATGAATACAGCTCCTATGAATGTCCGTGTGCAGGCTTTTGTGTAGACATGAGTTTTCATCCCCTTTGGGTAAATAAACACCAAGGAGTATGACTGCTCTACCATGTGATAAGATTATGCATGTTGTTTTGTAATCCTGTTTACTTTTATTGAAAACTCTCTTCTCAAGTAGCTGTATCAGTTCCTGTGGCTCTGCAACCTCACCAGCATGTGACGTTGTTAGTGTTTTGGATTTTGGCTATTCTACCAGGTATGGAATGGGTACCTTGTTTTAATTTGCAGTTCCCTAAGGATATATGATGTGGAGCATCTTTTCATACGGATATATGATGTGGAGCATCTTTTCATACGCTTATATACCATCTGTGCATCTTTGGTGATGTCTGTACAGGTCTACTGCCGATTAAAAAAAAAACTGACTAGCTTCCTTATTAAGTTTAAAGAGTTCTTTGTATATTTTGGATAACAATCCTTGATCAGATGTGTATTCTGCAAATATTTTCTTTCAGTCTGTGGCTTTTGTTCTCATGCTCTTGATGTTCCTCATTTTTTGAAAAAAAGAAAACTCTAGGCAGGAAAAGTTACTAAGTAACTCAGCTAGCCACAGAGCCAGAAAGAAAAAACAGGGTCTTCTCTAATAATCCCAAGTCTCTAGAAAAATTAATTTCAGGCCCAAATTTTAAGGTTTTAAAATACACAGTCATTTCTAAAATTCCTTCATTTTTCACACCATTCAACAAAATGCTGCCCAAGTAAAAAGGACCCTGTCACACCGTACAGCAGTCCCTCCTTACCAGGGTTTCATTTTCTGAGGTTTCAGTTGCCCTTGGTCAGCCAAAGTCCAAAACTATTAAATGGAAAATTCCAGAAATTCATGTTAAAAATTGCAAACTGTTCTGAGCAGTGTGATGAAACTTCACGTTGTCCCACTCCATCCCCCGGGAACATGAATCATGTCTGTCCAGAATGTCCACACCAGTGATGCTACACATTAGTCACTTAATAGACATCCTGAGTTTCAGATTCAAATAACATAGTACCATATATGTAGGATTCAGTACCATCTGAGGTTTCAGGCAACCGCTGGGGGTATTCAAATATATTCCCCATGGATGAGAGACTACTGCACAGAAATGAGGTTCTTTCTAGAATGAGTTCAGGAAGCACAGAGTTTCTAAATACATAGGAAAACTGTAGTATTCTAAAGAAATGTAGTGCTTAAGTGAGCAGCTAGGTGCTTTGGGAAGGTACTTGAAACTTTTAAATTTTTTGGATACATAGTAGTGGTACGTATCTATGGCATACATGTGATATTCTGATACAAGCATATGATGTGTAAGAACCAAATCAGGGTAACTGACTATCACTTCAAACATTTATCTTTTTTTTTTTTTTGAGACAGAATCTTGCTGTGTCACCCAGGCTGGAGGGTGGTGGCACAATCTTGACTCACTGCAACCTCTGCTTCCTGGGTTCAAGCAATCCTCCTGCTTTAGTCTCCTGAGTAGCTGGGACTATAGGCACACACCACCAAGCCTGGCCAAGTTTTGTATGTTTTGTAGAGTCAGGGTCTTGCTATGTTGCCCAGGCTGGTCTTGAAGTCCTAAGCTCAAATGATTCACCCACCTCAGCCTCCCAAAGTGCTGGGATTACAGGCATGAGCCATGGCACCTGGCTCATTTATCATTTCTTTGTGTTAGGAACATTCCAATTCCACTCCTGTATTTTGAAATGTACAATAAATTTTTGTTAACTATAGTTGCTCTACTGTGCCACTGAACACCAGATCTTATTCCTTCTAACAGGATTTTTGTACCCAGGGAAGGTATTTCAATGGTGGCAGACACACAGTGAGGTGCATGTAAAGAAGGGCAAGCGTTAAAAGAGTGGAGTGGTGAGGAGGCTGCCCTTGCAAGTGGACGCACTCTGGCTCTGACTAAGGTAACAGAAATTGTCTGATGGGAAAAAGAGAGCTAAAAACCACACACACACACACACACACACACAGAGTAAAAGTGCCTCATCTGTCCGAGAAGTGAGGCGGCTACTGTCTTTTTCAATAAGTCTTCTTATCCAGCTCATGATGAAATTACCTGACTACTAACACTGGAGTTGCACCTTAAAGCAGAGTAATGAGTGTTTCTAGGAAGTGCTGCAGCTCTCTGAAGAAAAATAATTACATCAATATAATAATAAATAAATGACATTATTTCAAACACAACTACACATTGTTATACAAAGTTGTTTTTATTTCCCACCCCATGACCCAATCATTTGGCATTAAAACCGAAAAACAAGGCAAGAAAACCAAGAATAAAAAGTGAAGAAATTTTTGTATTATAATGTATTCAGCCATTTGTTCTGATTATCTAAGAGAAAAAGACTATTAGGAAGTCTAACTTCAACAGAAAAATTCAAAATGCTTCCAAAGAAAATCAGAAAACTGATCTGTTTAGCCAGAGACCAGTGGTTCACAGTGTTTGATTCCGTGGTTTTTAAATTCCAGGTCCTTGTCTCACCCTAATGTCCCACACTCCAAATGAAACCAGAAGTGCACCAACAACACCTATCCCTCCTCAACCTCTGCTGGGCACCGCAACAAACTAAAAACATTCTTGGTTTTCTTGTTTTAAGGAAATATTTTTTCTTTTTTTCTATATGCTAATCTTCTTTATATCATTTCAATTTTAGTATATGTGCTGCTGAAGTGAGCACATTTTAAGGATTTTTAAGCTAAAGTTTCTTTTCTCACACACTGTCATATAAAAGGGGTATTTCTGCTTTGTCCCCTCCCTGCCATTATACCAAAAAATAAATAAGTACATAAATACAAATTAGAAAAGGTTAAATAAGACTGGCTTTTAAAACCCAATAAAGCAAGATAAGACAGAACTAGGCCCAAAGAGACTGGGAGAAGATTCTAAAATGGAGGGGGGGGGGAAAAAGCAGAAAAAAACGGCTTTCCAAAAACACTGAAACCCATGGTATGTGACAACTTTCTAAACCGTCTGGACTTTGGTAGGAGTGTCACGTTTTCCAAAGCTGACTTCTGGAAATCTTAACCTGGATTCAGAACAATTCCAGCAAAGTGAGCCAACAGCCAGGAAGAGGTTATTTTGTAAGAGAAAGGGGGTCACTCCATTTACAAACATATATAAATAGAAATAAAGGCCACACACTTGGGAGAAAAGCTCACTAAAAACTCCCACCCCAACCTGAACTTTCCTAGCTGCTAGATTTTTTCCACCTGTTAAAAAACTAAAAATTACTGAAGACCAGGCACAAAGAGCAAAAGAGCATGTGTATATTTGGGGGAGGAAGAAATCGACATGGTATGCTGGAAAGTTACGGAAAGCCATGGAAAAAGCTTCATCTGCACTCTTTCAAGAGGCCAAGGGAAGCCATTTTCAAATCCAACTCAAGTCACAGGACATCATCAATTCAATCCCCAGAAAGGATTAGTCAGCAAGGGCCTACCTATGCCACAAACTGATTTTACTACGCACCTTGCACACCTGCCAGTAATAGCAGTATCTACTCGAAAACTTTGCTTCACAGACCTTCCACTGCCTTTCCCAGTTGCCTGACTTACTCTCTTTAGGAAACATGCGATGACTTCATTAATTATCATCTCTGGCTCCAGAAATGGGAACCACTTGGTGGGCACAGCTTAGAAGTGTAATGGCTGCTTCTGCAGGTTTCTGCAGCTCATGTTGGCTTTTTTTTTTTTTGAGACAGAGTCTTGCTCTGTCACCAGGCTGGAGTGCAGTGGCACAATCTCGGCTCACTGAAACCTCCGCCTCCCGGGTTCAAGGGATTCCCCTGCCTCAGCCTCCTGAGTAGCTGGGACTACAGGCGTGCACCACCATGCCAGGCTAATTTTTTTGTATTTTAGTAGAGATGGGGTTTCACCATGTTGGCCAGGATGGTCTCGATCTCCTGACCTCATGATCCACCCACCCCGGCCTCCCAAAGTGCTTGGACTACAGGTATGAACCACCGCGCCTGGCTGGAGGCTCTTAATGGTCCCCCAGAGTCACCTGCTCTCCTGCAGAGCGGCAGTACTACCGTAACTTGCTCTACATAGACAACAAGGCCATTTTCAGCTGTTACTTAGAAACTTACTTCTTGGCAATATTAGCTTTAAAAGACAAAAAAGAAAACTTATTCTACAGGGTTGAAGAAAGGGAAAATAACACAAAAGCCCACTTCAGTCTCCGCTGATTCTGCAATAGTCACAGCTGAGTTCAGAGGCTGCCTGTCTTCTCACCAGCCCATCTCCAGGCTGTGCAGTCACAGGAAGAACAGGTTCTCGCACAGCTGGATGGCTGGTTCATGATGCAGGATATGTCCTGACAGGAAAGCTAGCTTGTGGGCATACTTGCAAGGAGCTGGAACTCTGATGGTGCCAGGCCAATTCCAGTACATGTGGCACAGTTTGAAAGTCAGCCTGTAGGCCAAGAAGAATATATAAATCTCATCATCCTCCACCTTCAATTTGTGGCATGCAATACAACACAACACCCATAGGGATACGACACAGAGCACACCTTCCTGAAAACTGGGGAGCAGAGGAATATGTGATGCAGCTTTTTAGAATCATTATTTTTAAGTGGACTTGTTTCTATTCCCACTATTCATAAGTCAGACGACATGGGTAAATCTTCTCAAGGTAGGCATTTCCCTGTTGTTTTTTTTTTTTTTTTTTTTTTTTTTAGACGGGGTTTTTTTTTGTTGCCCAGGCTGGAGTACGATGGCGCAATCTCGGCTCACTGCAACCTCCTCCTCCCGGGTTCAAGAGATTCTCCCACCTCAGCCTCCCGAGTAGCTGGGATTACAGGCATGCGCCATCACGCCCGGCTAATTTTTCTATTTTTAGTAGAGATGCGGGTGAGGGGTTTGCCATGTTGGTCAGGCTGATCTCAAACTCCTGGCCTCAGGTGATCTGCCCACCTCAACCTCCCAAAGTGCTGGGATTACAGGCAAGAGCCACCGCACCGGCCTCCTGTTTTTATAGGAAAACAAAGAGAAAATATTTCTTGTTTACAAGAAAAGGCTGGAGAAAGGTAAGTACCCTAGTGGAGTATTTATATAATCTGAACTCAATGACGTTGGGTCTCAAGTCTGGCTGTATATCATAATCGCCTGGAACAGATTTTAAAAATACAGATGCCTCAGAATATTTGGGGGGAAGCCTGGCATCAATATTTTTTAAAGCTCTTTAAGTAATATTAATATAAAACCAGGATTTCTAATCACTCCTCAAAAAGACACCAGTATTGTCACAGATATGAAGAAGAAAGTCAAGAGGTAAATATATTTGAGGGTGAAGAGTGAATCCATCTTAGCTAGCACGCCGGAATTATTTAAGAAAGAGAAAGAGTAAGTTACTGACGGGCCCACCTCTGCATATGATCAGGGCTCAGGTTTGCGGTGTTGAGAACACAGACATAATGCGTAGGAATGCCACAGCCCTGCCGTACATGATGGGCAAGAAGGTAGAAATCCACCCTAGGAAGGAAAAACCACAAATCAGTGATATGGTCGGATTCGGCCAGACAGAGCTGGCAAAGATCCTGGAGATCATTCTAGCTCCTTCAACTAAGGCTCAGAGAGGTCAAATGACTAGACCAAGGACACAGAGGCCAGGCCAGGATTAGAACCCAGGTCTCCTGACTCAAGAGGCTACTGAAGAATGGTGGTGGTGGTAGCAGGCTGGGTGCAGTGACTCACGCCTGTAATCCTAGCACTTTGGAAGGCTGAGGCAGGCAGATTCCTTGAGCCCGGGAGTTCAAGACCAGTCTGGGCAACATGGCAAGACCCTATCTCTACAAAAAATACAAAAATTAGTTGGGCATACGCCTATTGTCCCAGCTACTCAGGAGGCTGAGGTGGAAGGATCGACTGGGCCTAAGGAGGTTGAGGCTGCAGTAAGCTGAGATCACATCATTGCACTCCAGCTTGGACAACAAAGTGAGACCCTGCATCAAAAAGGAAAAAAAAAAAAAATGGTGGTAGAAACTCCCTTATCTACCTTTAGAAGTTAAGCATACACTATCTTAGCAAAACAATGTATGTTCAACTTTACACTTAACAGGTAAAAGCTTTCTTGTTTTTAAATCTTTTTTTGTTTTGAGACAGAGTCTCTTTCTGTTGCCCAGGCTGGATTATAGTAGCCTGATCTGAGCTTACTGCAACCTCTGCCTCCTGGGTTCAAGTGATTCTCCTGTCTCAATCTCCTGAGTAGCTGGGATTACAGGCACACACCATCACACATGGTTAATTTTTGTATTTTTAGTAGACAGGGTTTTGCCATGTTGGCCAGGCTGGTCTTGAACTCCTGACCTCAGGTGATCTACCAGCCTCGGCCTCCCAAAATGTTGGGATTACAGGTGTGAGCCACCGTGCCAGGCCCTTAAATATTTTTTAAAGCTTCATTCTTTTAATGGTAGCATCTCTGAGATTCTAGTCCACACCTCTCCAGGAAACCTCCCCATTCCAATACTCAGGAAAGTGATAACATCTCCAACTTATTCTTCCTCCAATACTACATATTTTACTCACTTACCACTCACAGCTTGTTATTGTATGATCTACCACAGTTCCAGGAGTAGGAGTCACAAAGTGCTGAGGAGCAGCCAGATATAGATTAGTACTGATTTTCTTCTGAACTACGAACACCACCATCTTGGGCTGATAATTCTCAAAAGCCTCAAAACACTTCTGTAGTTGAGGAATCTCATAGTTGGCAACTGTCTTCAGTTGGCCATCAGACACTCCATCACGGTATACCACAATCTTCTCTGGTAGACAGTGGTTCACCTGAAATGACAGCCAGGATGTGGTGACTCACAGGGCCCTCAGGCTACGGACCACAGTCAGTGAGAGGCCTACTCACATTGTGCAACCTGGAGTCAGGGCAGATCCTTTTGCAGTTAGTCTCAAAGCTACTGTGCCTAGAGGGCAGGGAAAAAAAGCTTCTGGTAGTAAAACACGCCTGGTGTAGCAAAGGTGTTATAAAACATGAAAGCAAAACAAGCAAGTTATGAGTCATACGCATAAGGCTTATCCACAAACAATGCAAACAATTTCAAAGGAATGGTGGGAAAACTACAGGCTGAACCAATTTTCCTTCTATTGGATTTAACACTAATAACTGTCTGGGCAAAAAATGAGGTAAAGTGTTAGAGAAATTCTAACATAAGACCACATATGCCACAGATCCGCTGCCATCAGATTTTTACCTATTGGCAACATCTCAAGTTGCTGACAAGTAAAAGGACCCTTTACTAAGTATTATCCTACAATCTGGTATGCTGTGAAACATTTTTACTGGAACTAAGTAATGAGCAAACAGCTAGATATGTGAATTGTCTATGGGTCCAAATTAAATTAAATGCTTGCTTGAATCAATTTGAAGAATACTTTTTTCCCCATTTAGGGAATATAATTGTGTTTTAGTTGTGTTCAACTTCTTTTTTCTTTTTTGAGACAGAGTCTGGCTCTGTCACCCAGGCTGGAGTGCAGTGGCACGATCTCGGCTCACTACAAGCTCTGCCTCCCGGGTTCACGCCATTCTCCTGCCTCAGCCTCCAGAGTAGCTGGGACTACAGGCACCCACCACCATGCCCAGCTAATTTTTTGTATTTTTAGTAGAGACGGGGTTTCACCTTGTTAGCCAGGATGGTCTCGATCTCCTGACCTCATGATCCACCGGCCTTGGCCTCCCAAAGTGCTGGGATCACAGGCGTGAGCCACCACGCCCAGCAGGTGTTCAACTTCAATAATTCAAGAAGGGCCAGGCACGGTGGCTCACGCCTGTAATCCCAGCACGTTGGGAGGCCAAGGTGGGTGGATTACTTGAGGTCAGGAGTTCAAGACCAGCCTGGCCAACATGCTGAAATCCTGTCTCTACTAAAAATACAAAAAGTAGGTGGGCATGGTGGCGAGCACCTGTAATCCCAGCTACTTGGGAGGCTGAGGCAGGAGAATCACTTGAACCCAGGAGGTGGAGGTTGCAGCAAGCTGAGATTGTAACAAGAGCGAAACTCCATCTCGAAAAAAAATAAAATAAAATAAATTCAAGAGGATAAGTTCAGTTCAACTTAAAATGGAAGTTCCCTTTAAAAGTGCTTTAATTTAATTTGGTTTTGATTCTAGTGGAGTGTGGTTCATTCTAAGTTTGTGTTCACACTTACCCTCAAAAACCTAAATTATGGGCTGGGCACAAGTGGCTCACGCCTGTAATCCCAGCACTCTGGGAGACCAAGGTGGGTGGATCGCCTGAGGTCAGGAGTTCAAGACCACCCTGGTCAACATGGTGAAACTCTCACCTCTACTAAAAATACAAAAATTAGTCAGGTGTGGTGGTGCACATCTATAGTCCCAGCTACTCAGGGGGCTGAGGCAGGAGAACTGCTTGAACCTGGGAGGTGGAGGTTGCAGTGAGCCGAGATTACACCACTGCACTCCAGCCTGGGTGACACAGCGAGACCCTGTCTCAAAAAATACAAAAACAAAAACAAAAAAAACCACCCAAAAACCTAAATTATGAATTAGGTTTAGATATAAATTACATATATGTATGCACTGTTCCTTACAGGTTACACTACAAGAAAATGTGATTTCCAAGAATACTTTTAAAAAATAAGCACTTAGAATCCCTTTACAAAGTTCTGAGTTTCAATTTTTTTTTTTTTTTTTTTTAAATAATTGAGGTCTCACTCTGTTGCTCAGGTTAGACTGCAGTGGTGCAATGATAGCTACTGCAGCTTCAAACTCCTAAGCTCAAGAGATTCTCCTGCCTCAGCCTGTCAAGTAGTTGGAACTACAGGTGCTTGTCGCTATGCCAGTTAATTAAATCAATTAATTATTTTTGAAACAGAGTCTCGCTCTGTTGCCCAGGCTGGAGTGCAGTGACGCAATCTTGACTTACTGAAATCTCTGCCTCCCGGGTTCATGCAATTCTTGGTCCTCAGCCTCTCAAGTAGCCGGGACTAGCTGGGACTACAGGTGTGCACCACCATGCCTGGCTAATTTTTGTATTCTTAGCAGAGACAGGGTTTTGCCATGTTGGGCAGGCTGGTCTCAAACTCCTGACCTCAGGTCATCCGCCTACCTTGGCCTCCCAAAGTGCTGGGATTATAAGCATGAGCTACTGCGCCCGACCTAATTTTATTTTAAAACATTTAGAACTTTGGGAGGCTGAGATGGGCGGATCACGAGGCCAGGAGATCGAGACCATCCTGGCTAACACACAGTGAAGCTCTGTCTCTACTAAACATATGAAAAAATTAGCCGGGCATTGTGGCTGGTACCTGTAGTCCCAGCTACTTGGGAGGCTGAGGCAGGAGAATGGTGTGAACCCGGGAGGTGGAGCTTGCAGTCAGCCGAGATCGCGCCACGGCACTCTAGCCTGGGCGACAGAGCAAGACTCTGTCTCAAAAAAAAAAAAATAAATAAATTTTTAGAGACGGGTCTCACTATGTTGCCCAGGCTGGTCTCAAACTCCTGGCCTCAGGTGATCCTCCTCCCTCAGCCTCCCAAAGTGCTGAGATTACAGGAATGAGCCACCACTTCTGGCCCAGAATTTCAAATATTTTATTAATGACCCCCTTTCCTAAGAAGCCTCAAGCACTACATTTACAAGTATGTAATTCATCCTCACAGTCTCAGATTACCCCAGTTTATGATACCTTTATTTTTTTTGAGATGGGGTGTCACTCTCTTGCCCAGGTTGGAGTGCAGTGGCACCATCTCTGCTCACTGCAACCTCCACCTCCTGGGCTCAAGCCATCCCTCCTGCCTCAGCCTCCTGAGTAGCTGGGACTATAAGTGTGTGCCACCATGCCTAGCTAACTTTTGTATTTTTTGTAGAGACAGAGGTTTCACCATGTTGCCCAGGCTAGTCTCGAACTCCTGGACTCAGTGATATACCTGCCTTGGCCTCCCAAAGTGCTCAGATTACAGGTGTGAGATACCACACCTGGCCTGTAGTACCTTTAAAATTGTTTTTTGGCTTTCCAGCATCTACTCCATGTTTTCTCAGTAATAGCACTTGAGTTTCCTCCTGTCTGGTGGGACTATTAGTTAACGTGCCCTAACCCAACCCAAGGCTTCCCAACCTGTCACCACTACTGACATTTGTGGGTGGATAATTCTTCATCCTAGAGGGCTGTCCTGTGTACTGCAGAATCCACATTTAACATCATCCCTGGCCTCTATCCACTAAATGCCAGGAGCAATCTCTTACCCTTATAACTAAAAATGCCTTTATATATCACCGGCTGGGAGGACAAAATTGCTCCCAGTTGAGAACCACTTCACTAACCAAAGGATGTGTAGATGACTCAAGCCACACCAACAGACTGCTCCTCCCTTGCTCTCCATCTTGAGTAGGGAATGAAAAACAGTGGAGTTTGACCCTTCAGTGGCAGTACCCCTTCAGGCCCCTGCTTCTGAAACCCCAGGAGTTAGCCTGAATCATGCCCATTTTCCAGCCTGGGGCTCCACCTTCTCACCAATCCTCTGAGACTCTGCAGAATCTTGCCAATTTCTATTCTGCTCAAGTTACCAGTTCCTGTTAATTCCCAAAGACTACTAACTGACTCGCTGTGTTAAAAGGTAGATAACCCAGGAGCTCAGATCTGGAAGAAACCCTCATTTGACAGACAAGGAAACAGAGAGTACACTGGATTTTGGATCAGGAGACCTTGGGACTGAGTCTGACTCTGCTGCTCCTTTAACTATGACCTTCAGGACTCAGTTTCTTCAGTTGAAAAGTGAAGAAAAATGATCACCTCACCTTCTCAGGGTTGTTAAAAGGGATAAAGTAAAATCTTAATATATATACACATATATATATGTATATATACTGTACACAAAAGTTGAGACTGAGCTAGATCAAGGATATACAGATATGCCGAAGCACAAAGAAGGGACTTAAAAAATCAACAGAGTGAGAAATAGAGGGCCGGGCACAGTGTGGCTCATGCCTGTAATCCCAGCACTTTGGGAGGCTAAGGCAGGCGGATCACATGAGGTCAGGAGTTTGAGACCAGCCTAAGCAACATGGTGAAACCCCGTCTCTACTAAAAATACAAAAATAAGCCAGGCATGGTGGCATGCACCTATGTAATCCCAGCTTGGGTGGCTGAGGCAGAAAAATCGCTTGAACCCAGAGGACAAAGGTTGCAGTGAGCGGAGTTTGTGCCTCTGCACTCCGGCCTGGGTGACAGAGTGAGATTCCATCTCAAAAAAAAAAAAAAAAGAAAAAGAAAAATAGAAATCAAATTTGACTTTGGTAATTACTGACATCACCTCCTTCTTTAACATTTGCCAACCAACCACTGAGTTCAAGGTACCACACTCAGCCCTATGTAGGCCTCTAACAGAACTGAAAGGAATCAAGGAACTGAAAAATCTAAAAATAATCAACAATGTTAAGCTGTCTAGGTCATCCAGTCTATTTTCTTCATTTTATAAGTTATAAAACTATGGTTGAGGGAGGAGTCAGAATATAAGACAAATTACAAGGCTGAAACATAACTCCTAAACGTGTTTTTTTTTTTCCTTTTTTGAGACAGGGTCTGCTCTATCACTCAACCTCCTGGGCTCAAGCGATCCTCCTGACTCAGCCTCCTGAGCAGCTGGGACTATAAGGATAGCTGGGACTACAGGAATGTGCCATCAAACCCAGCTAATTTTTTTATTTATAGTAGAGACAAAGTCTCAATATGTTGTCCAGGTTGGAACTCCTAAATGTATGTTACAAAAACCACTTCAGTACTCAGTAGACACATGAAACAGTAAGTACTGAATGC